ATTCTTAATAAGAATAGAGAAACCAGGTCTTAGACCTGCAGTGAGAGATTGAATGTTTACAGATAATTACACTGAATCTGAAGATTTTATCATAATTATTCACAATCTCTTCAGAAGTGTACACATCATTGAAGACTGCTGTGCGGAATAAGAATTCAAACATGAGATATATCAAGCTGAGAGATCTGTCAGAGTCATTAAGCTTCAATGATGACTGAAAAAATGATGCTGTAATCAGCTAGCTAAGTCAGATGTGATTATATTATCAGATTGAATATGAACTTACAGACAGACAGTCAATGAAATTTCAACAAGTCTTAAGATCTGCTGTGTTTCTATGCAGAAAAGTGAAGTTATTATAAATAACTGATGAAAAGATGAATCTCACAGATTTGAAACAATATTCATTCTCATAAATATGAAATGAGTTTTTCAAATGAATCTTGCACAACTTTGAGAAAGTGAATATATATGATAAGTGTTACAAACACTTCACTGAGTGTAGACAAGTGAGTGATCTTATATCATACTTCACACACTTCAGTTTATACTATCTTGTATTGAATGAAGAGCTTTCAACATCTTTCTATTTACAGATCTTCATTCATAATCTTACATCTGAGTTGAGAGTGAAATGAAAATACTTAATCTCATAGTCAGACACAGTGAAGAAAGTATACAATATTCTCATTATATAAAAACAAGCAAGTCAAGTATGACAGAAAATACTGTAATCAAGTATGTCTCAGTGAAGAATGAATAATCAGACTTCTATGATACAAGTTATACATCTGAATATGATAAATCTAGATCTGAATATCATTGCTAAAGTACTGAATCCTCTGAAAAAGAGATTCTCTAGTGAAAATCTTGATATCACAAGTATTGAGCTTGCTTCAACTGTGAATGCTAAAATCATGATATAAAAGATTACACACAGTGTGTACAGTTAAGAGAAACAAGAGAGTTAAAAAACTAGCAGAATCAGTGAGCTCAGAGATACTCACTGATATTCTATGAAAAGTCTTCAAAGTGAAAGAGATGTCTGTGTTAGATAACTCTCTGAATTCTGTGAATATCAAGAGAAACCAGGCTTCTGAATGAGATGTGAATGAGAATGATGAAGTGAACACTTATCTCAATGTCTTGAGACTCAAAATGTTAATGTATAAGAGGCACTTGAGTAAGAATTGAGAGATGACTGTAACAGTGTTAGCAGACACAGAAGCTTCTATATAATATATTAATAATTATATAATCTGAAGACTGAAAGAAGTTCACTGAGTGAAGAATTCTCAATGTATAAGATTATCTGATAACTGATACTTGATATTATCTGCAAGAGTAAGAGTTCTCTTACTCTTCAGAGAATGATCTTACTATATTTAAGTGTAAGAGCTGCAGAATGTGAAATATGACCTTATTCTTAAACTTGATTAATTTCAAAGATTCAATCTGCAGATTCAATGATGTACATGTCATATACAGTTAACTGATAGAAAGAAAACAGTTCATATAATTCTATCAACTCATATGAGAAGGACATTTCACATCTCTGATATAGAAGAATTAAATCTGCTTATACATTAATAAGTAAAGAGAACAATTCACAAGACCTCATCTGAAAGCATTCTGTATATTATATGAGACTCAGAAGTGAAGAAAATCAAGATAAAGAATATGTGAGAGAACAAGTGTATGAAGAAGCTTTTGAAAAAGTATGAGAAGATCTTCTAAACAGATCTTTCACTGAAATTATCACTGAAATGAGGATTTGTACATGAGATTGACACAGAGGACGCGAAACCAGTCAATCAGAATGCATATCCTCTGTCACAAACACATCTTGAAGAACAGAAGTGTCAGATTACAGATCTTCTAGAATGTGATCTCAAATAATTCTCATCAAGTGTATGAGGCTTTCCAGTCCTATTCATGAAAAAGGCAGATGAGAAGTGAAGAATATGTATTGATTACTGAGCACTCAACAAGCTTATAATCAAGAATGAATATTCACTGTCATAAATTCAATAACAGTTGAATACAGTTGAAAACATCTGATATCTATTAAAGATTGATCTTCTCTCAGAATACTGACAGATCTGTGTGAATGAACTGTCAGTCTCACAAACTACATTTAATATACAATGAGAGAAGTTCAAATTCCTGACAATGTTATTTAATCTGATAAATGTGCCTGTCATCTTCTAAATGATGATGAATACAATTCTTTATAAATAAAATAAAACCTGATGTCTTGTATATCTTGATGACATTCTGATCTTCTCAAACTCATATGATGAACACTTGAAGTATCTTAATAAAGTGCTTATAACTCTGACAGAGTATAAGCTCTACATCAAATCAATAAAGTATGTATTTGAAATGAAAGAGTTGAAGTTCATAGAATATATAGTGAGTGATGACTGTATACATCTCATTCTGAAGAAATTGAATGTTATAGTGAATTGACTGCAGCTGAGAAATGTACATCATGTACAACAGTTTCTTGAGTTGATCTCATATTACTGCAGATTTATCAAGAATTTCACATGAATATCTGCATCACTCTTAGATCTCTTAAGAGAAACAGATGAAAATCTGTAAAAGAAGAAGTTTTATTCAATTATCTGAAATGCTGTGTGTGAAGAGACTTTTCTCACATTGAGAGAATGTGTAATAACATTCTCAGTGCTTATTCAATCAGATTGTGATAAATCTTTCTAAATTGAGACAGATGCATCTGAATGAGCTATCAGAGACACTCTTCTATAGATGAGTAAGAATGACAAGCTGCATCTGATGATATACAATGATAGGAAACTATCAGACATTGAGCTCAATTACTCAGTGTATGAAAAGAAATTACTAGTGATCAAGCATGTGCTGATGTTATGAGATAGATATATTGACAATAGACATACAATAACAGTGATCACAGATCATGAAAGTCTTGTCTATTTACAATTAATAATAGAATCTTTCAAACACTTAGTATATTAAATCTCAGAGTTCTAAGTGTATAATCTTCATATCAAATACTGAAAGAGATCAGACACTGTGATATCTGATGCAATCAGTTACAGACCTGATTTCATAAGTGAGAGTTCTGCAAACCAGGTATAAGAGAAGTTCACATTAAACACACTGAGAGAGTGCAAGGAATCAGAATAAGTGAATACAATGATCTCTTACTTAAAGAATGATAAGATGTCAAATAATAAGCATCTCATGAAAGTAGTAGAAGAGATGCTTTCAAACTTTAAGCTGAAAAAATTGAAAAATGATGTTATGCTTTACTATAATCTAGAATATGCAGAAGCTCTCTATCTAGAATATTCATTTAGATGTGACTTGATGACTCACATGCACAAGGAATTCAGTCACTTAGAAAGCCCTGAACTCATAAGTGTACTTGAATCAAGAGTATACTGATCAAGCATGACTGAGAACATTCAGATAGACACTTACAAGTGTCTGAATTATCAGGTTGTGAAAGAATCTAAGAAAGAGTTAGAATGTGAGAAAGTGCACCATCAGATAAAGTATATAATACAACTGTTTAAATAATGAGAGATGAATCTCATAGATCTATTACTGTAAATATCAAATGAAAATTGATGAATAATCACTGCTATTGATTACAATACTGACTGATTAGTCATGAAACAGTTTCAGAGACAACAGAGAAGATGATGATGAAGTTTCTACATGATGAGATCTATATCAACTATGAAATGCCACATGAGATTCTAACTGATAATAATGTGAATCTTGTAGAAGAAGCAGTGAGGCATTTCATGAGTCAGTTACAGATAAGATATTATAGAACAATGTCATATTATTCATGGACAAATGAGAAGATGAAATACTTGAATGAAATCTTGAGTAACATGCTGATAAAATATCTAGTGAGCAAGTCTACAAGACTATGAGATGAATATCTCAGACAGGTGCTATTAGCCACACAGATTCAACAGTATGCAGTCATCAAGTGTTTATCATTCTACCTGTTGTATGAATTGCATCCGCACATCCTAGAGAATTCTTTAAAAAAGGTGAGAAAGGGAACAGCAGTTGCAGATGCAACAGTCACAGGTGCAACAGTTGCAGATGTAGCAGAAACAGCAGTTGCAGATGCAGCAGTCATGAACACAGAATCAAGATTGAAAGAGATCAGTCATACACATGCAAAAGCTAACAAGTTACTTCTGAACTGAGCAATTCAATTGAAAAGAATACAAGACTCACTAGTTAAGAAATTGAGTCTCAAGATGAAAATGTAAGTTCTTATACACAATGAGAGTGCTAAGAAGTTTCAATCTAGATGATTTGAGTCATATAAAATACTCAAATCACATTCTCTGTAAATATATGTATTGAAAGAATAAGAGAGACAGATCTTATACAACTTAATAAATAATTCACATCTTATAAAAGCAAAGATACAAGATCTGAGTGAATTATAATTATCTACAGCACTATTGTCAGTGTTGAAAAAGAAGAGACTTATAATTGAAAAGTCTTATGAAGTAAGAGAAATCATAGATACTTATAAATCAGATGATCTCACTTATTCTGATCTTTTCATAATTATAAGAAAAGAATGAAAAGAAATGAAGAAATCAGATAAATATCACACTTCAATAAGTGATGAGACTGTAGTCAGTTGTACAATAACATGCTGCAGACAGTGAATGCAACACAGTAAAGAGTAGTCTCAGAGCAGCAGACTTATACATGAGTCAGATCACAGAAGAAAAAGAAATTCAGAGTTGAATTTAACTGTTTACATCAGTTCAATCACAGAGATTACAGAGAATGAATTATCTGAAACATCTGCAGACATATGAGACTAAGTCATCTCAACTTCTGAAAACACTCAGAGATCAGATGAGATTAGTTTTAATGAGCTGTTCACTATAGTAATCTGAGTAGGTAAAGAGAGACAGTATAATGCATGAGACAGAATCACAAAAGATGAAATCTGCTGAACCTAGTCACTGAACACTGTATTATATAGAGATTGTATAAGAGTAGTGACTAGCAGACAAAGACAAAGTGTAAGAAAAGAAAAGAGAATGACTCAAGAGATAATGAATTGATTATCAATTATAAGAGTCAGCTGTAAAAGACAAATGTTATCATATATCTCATTTATTTTCATACATTACATATTTAATCTATTTTCAACATCACATCATCTGAAAAACATTAAAAATAAAGAAAATCTCAAAACTCAAGATCTGCAAGGGATTTGAGAGCTGCAAGCTGCTCTTATAACAATATCATACATGTCTTCAATTTCTCTACTACTCTGTGTATGACATTAATATCATTTATCACAAGATTGGCTGGAATGCCAATATAGAAATGTGTATATGTGTGTGTAGAAAAATTGAAGAAGAGCACAGAACCTGCAGAATCAGAAGTCAGAACAGAGAGAACAGAGATGAAAGAAATGAAAGAAGAAGAAGATACAGAACTGAATAAATAACAGCAGAAGTCACTCAGAGCTGAATACTTATAACTCAATATGCATATAATCTTTTCTGCAGAGAAGGAAGAGAAAGCACTGAAAGAAGCTTAAGAGTAGAAGAGAGTAGTCTCAGTGATATTATCATCTTTGATTAAAATGATCTCTGACACTGAAGCAACTAAGAACTATTGTTAGTGTATAAAAACTGCAAAAGCAGAGATAATAATTACCAAATAAATATCTGCTGATCTTAGAATTGTACACACAATTACAACATATACAAGGCTTCTCAGAAAGAGAGAGAGGGACATGAGAGAATGCAGAAAGTAGAACACAGTGTGTGAACAGCTCATTCTCATAACAACATCTCAGACAAGATATACAAGCCTCATGCTCACAGGTGTAAAAGAGTATAATATTCATGTTCTTATTTCTGAAAACATGGATATTCTTCACCTGCATCATGAAGTCAGATGACAAATATCAGAGAATAGACTGATATGAGTTAATCATTCTGAAGATATTCATCAGAGCAGATATACTCATAATATTGAGTTTAATCATTGTAAAAAGTTTCTTGATATCTGTGAATATCACAACTTCATATATAATAAAACTCATAATGATTTTCTCTAAGAACAGGAAAATCAGTGTCAGAAAGAAAAGATGAAAAAGAAAAAGACTTATAATTTTGATACTGTTGAAAGAGAAGATGATTCTCTGATATGAATAAATGATTACTTTATCATAAATATTTAAAATGAATGTAATAATTGATGTCTGTGATCAAGCTTCAGATAGTCATGTCATATATTATCTTCATATAATAAATTGCTCTAGAGATCAGCAAGAAGAGCAGAAGTATACATGCTGAGAAATGTAATTTATTAAGTCTACACAACATCTTCTTAAAATGAGAAGAGCTGATAATGAAAGCAGAGACAGCAGAATCAGAGGAAGCAGAAGTAGCAGAAGTAAGAGTCACAGAAACAGGAATAGCAGGAGCAGAAGAACCAGACACAGAAACAAGTGTAGAAGATTGAGAGAGAGTAGCAGAGAAAGAAACAGAGAAGAGAGTAGCAGAGAAAGAAGCAGCAGAAGAGATAGAAAGAGATATGAGAGACTCAGTTATATATAATATGAACAATTTCTTCATTATCACATTCTTCAAGTTCTCAATCAATGATTCAACATTGAGTTCACTATCATCAGTGAATGTAGATCTGTCAACACATGAAGATTCTACATGAATAAAAACAGATATATCAGCATCTGTGTTTATGTAAAATTATGTCAGAAGACACAATCAGAAGCTCACTGAGAAGAAAAACAGTTAAGAGTGTATAAGAAGATGGAAAAGATATATCATTCATGATAATATGTTCTGATAATTGTTAGAAGAAAACAAGTCATGATCATGTTTCACAATGTATTACACTTACTGCTAATGAACTGCCTGATATGAGCACTATAATGATACTTATTGTGAGAATGAGAGGTCATCATCAGAAACATGTACAATGTGATAGATAAATGAATAGAAGATGTTGAACAGAAGAAGAAATAGAAATCTTGAATGAGATGATAACATTCAATGATAATGATAATGAAAAAGATGATTGAAGAATAGAAAAAGTTAGTGAATAAGTAATGTAATATAGTGAAAGTTTCTTTGTGAGAGTGTACACAGAACACTAGCTGAATCAGAGATAAATCATACAATTGTGAACACTAGTGATGTGCTAATCCGCATGAAGCTAGAATGAATGTCATGATTACATAAGTATAACTGAATCTAGTGAGAGAGAATGTGATTCAGAACAATGTATAACTGTTGAATAATAACACAGCCACTTCTGAACTTGCTTACAAATGTAAAGAGATCATAGCAGCCATCAATTAATTTAGTGTACAGTATATAAGAAGCCGGCGTACACCTGTAATCGTACGCTGGCTTAAGCAACCTTTGAATCACATAAATAAAAAAACTTATCAGTTTTAACTTCTTTATCTCTCACTTTAACATCTTCTTAATTCTTCTTCTATTATTACTTATTTATAGTAACACTCTTCTTCTCTCTCTCTCTCTTTATCTTAATCTCAAATCATTCTCAAAACTTCTTCTAATCTTACTACTACTGTATAAGACTCTTCACTGTCTTCTTTTTCAATCTCTCACAGGCAGTGTTATCTGCATTATTTCTATACTTAGTTCACTTTAAATCTATCAGAAGTATTACTTAAAATTGTTATTATTTTACTCTCTTACAGAGTCTCTTCAAGATACTATAATATATCTTACAATCTGTCTTCTTTCACTTGAACATCTTCTTCTTCTCTTTCTTCAATCTGTGACAGTGCTCACATGCCTTGATGATTCACAGAACTGCAGAATATTTGCAGAGAAATAACATGATTAATTTCAGTGAGTATTGAAGAGAGATGAAGACAGAAGAGACAGCTAGAAATAATATAATAATAATAATGATAATAATGATGATAATGATAATAGTCGTGATAATAGTAATAATGATGATAATAATGATAATGATGATGATAATAATGATAATAATAATAATAATGAAAGAGAGAGTGTATTAGAATATATTACTGACTTATCAAATATAGAGAGACTTAAAGAAAATATTAACAGCTTTCAGAGATGTACAGAAATAGCTACAGTGTTGCATAGCAACATCATCTTTATTTAATACATATACTGTTGATATTCTTTGTATACGGTTATTATATAATCTGTATCAGAGATACATGCAGAAAACAGATCTTTGTTATTAGAGTGAATAATTACAGTAATTCTCTGTTTTCATATTATAAAGATAAGTTATTCTTATTTCTTTCTTCTCTCTTTTCTCTTCTTCAATCAATCATTAATTCCAAGCTGATATAAAAACTATTCAAACACTCTCAGAAACTCTCAAATTGAAGAGTATAGACTAATCAAATTTTAAATACAGAAGAAATCAAATTATCTTCTATAGATTCAATTACTCACTCTCTCTTCAAATAAAACAGCAGTCGCGTCCCCTTCTTCCCCCCCTCAATCAAATAAAACATGGCCTGCAAAAAGTGAGTACTATGCCAGGTTATAATGATTAACACAGCCTCAGCATGCAGGACTGTATACATACAGAACATGCTGAACTGAGAGACTGCATGAGTTGCAAACTGACAGCAGCATCTCAGAAAGAGCTATGCAGTGTGAGAAAGCTGCAACTCTCAGTTACATGCACAGAGAGTGAATCACTGCAGTAAGTGCATGTGCATTACATAAAAGTAATACTTTTTAATAACACTCAGTCTCTGATATTATGAAAATAGAGTCTCTTCATGAGATCTGTTTTTATTAGAAGTCAGAGAATCTTATATTCTTCAAGATTATCTTTACATGTCTTGTCTGTGAAATCAATGAGAAGAATCATTGATTTCAGCATTCTA